GCCCGAGGGGTTGTGGGGGGGGGGTGTGTAGGGATGTAAGCTGGGAGGTGGGTCACTGCAAGAAAGACACCAGGAGGCAAGTGAGGTCCTAAGATTTTTAGCCTCCAAAACCCAACTTCTTCACCACCACAGCAAAGGAAGCGAGAAGCAGGCCTGAGCGATCCCCTAGAACGAAGAGAAGCATCAAGTGGACTAGTATGTGGCTCTGCCGAGAGGCCTGGACTCTTCTTTCTCATGCTCTGGAGCCCTGGCCTCTTAGGAATATTCGTGCCTCCACCTGGGTCATTACTCAGGCCTGTTGGAGCCTGCTTCCAAAAGACACCACCTTCACATTTGGTGCTAAAACGTTCAAGACAGGCTCACAAGGCATGACAGAGTCTCCTGGCACGGGCCACCTGGCAAAGTTTCCGGCCTGGAAAAGTACAGGAAATGTAGGTTACCCTACAGGCACCATTTCCCAGTTGAGCGCTGGCAGTAACCCAGTGGCCTTGAGCTAATACATTACGTCATTCCCGACCTGGGACAACTTTAGACCAAGAAGCCAGATCTGCAAAACTGATCATCCATTTCAGTCTGGAGGGGCGAAGCTCCCTGTCAAGCCATTGCTTTCCCTGGCAGGAAGTCTTCCTTCTTCCAAGCACCTTTAGCGGCTGGTAGAGTTCTCTTTCAAAAACACAAACTCACTCCTTTGCTCAAAAACTCTATCCCCCGCAGAATTATAAGCTACAAAGCCTGCCACTCACAGGTATCTGTAAACCCTGTCCCCAGCTTTCCTTTGTCCAGGGTGACTATTTTCATCTCCATCCTATCTGTTCATGTATTCGTTCTTTTGTTAGTTCAGTATACTTCTTCAGCAGCAGGATTTACTCAGATGCCATGTTAAGAGTGAGAATATGGGAAGATACTGCACATGAAGCGGACTCCGGGATGCCCTGTCCACGGGACGGGAAGGTACCAGCACAGCTCTGAGATCTCCAGCCGCTCGCCATTGCCCCTCTCTGGAGCCTCTCCCTCTTGCACGTGTGCTCTCTCTCTTGCAGTTCCTTCTAGTTCTTTCGTAAGAGCGAGCATGTACACAAGAGAGACAGGCAGAAAGAGCAGCGCCTTCAACTGGGCCTGGTCATGCTGAGACCCCCGCCTGCTCACCCTTCAGCTCCTGGGGACCTCGGACCATGTGCTGGGGAGCTGCAGAGCCCAAGCCCATGGTCAGCAATGTGGCTCCAGACCTGTAGTGCAACACGGTACCAACAGTGCCCCACAGTGTCACCACAGCTGGGCCTCCTGAAGCCCTTCCTGGGGCCCTCTTCTGGAAGCCCATGCCTCGTGCACTTGCATCGTAAAGCATGTAGCCTTGGGTCAGATCGACCGGAGGACTGGGTCTGGCCCTCCCATCAGACGGAGCTGCCAGCCCTGGGCCCACAGCCACTCATTTCTTCCACTTCTCAGAGCACCTGGCACTTCCCAGAGCCCTGCTGCAGACGGGCTGAGTCGAAGTGAATGAGCCTTTGATTAGGGCTCTATTCTGAGCACAGCGAGCACATCTCCTGACAGCAGGCTGAGCTGAAGCAGCCTTGGGGTAATGCTCTCACTCCCCACCCCACCCCCACCTTTATTTACTTATTTTTATACTTCTTCCTCTTTCTTTTTTAAAAATTTGCCAGAGGGCGCTTGCAATAGTTGGAGAGAGAAAGAGATACAGAGAGACCCCCTCATGGGGACCAACACACCACAATCTCTTCTCTTCCAGCTCTCCCTCCTCTTGGGGGATTTTGGACACGCACACGCATATGCCCAGCACGTTCCACAGTCAGCCATGTGGGATATAGTGCCTTAACCACCATGTCACCGGCTCACCTTGAGACGGCTCTTCTAGCCTGGTGTCCCAAGCAAGGACACGGTGCCTAGGGATGCAGCTTGGCTGAGGCAGAGTTTCCGCAGTGGGATGCACAGCCTGCATCTGATGAAATTCGGAATGACACAGATGACCGGAAGATGACCGGAGGCCTGTAGCTTCCATGTCAGGAAATAAAAATAGCCCGCTCAGACTTCTTGGTGCATGTGTTTTACAGACACAGCCCTCCCTTTGCCCTGACACAGCCGTGTGGCACCTCCCTTCCTGGGCAGATCAGGGCTCGGGGCAGCCAGTCTCCAGGGAGCCCCGGATGTGCCACTGCCGGTCCCACAGCTGGAGGAAGGGCTGGGCTTACTGCCTTAACTGCCCGCAGGAAGGAACGTGGGCTCACAGGGGCCAGACCCGAGGCCACATAACAAGGGGACTGGGCAGAGCGTCCTGAATTCAACCAGGTGAAGCAATTTTTCCAGGACAAGTATGGCCAAGAAGCCCTCTTGGGTCTTGCGGGCAGAGACTGGGCCCACGGGGAAGACAGGCACACTCACCAGAAACCAGTCGCTCCCACTTTCTCCTGGTCGTGGGTGGAAGAGGGGACCACCCAGACCCTGAAATCTCCTGTTACGCCATGAGCAGGTTTCGGTTCCTTATTTGAGTTTGTGAAGATAAAGTTTATCTAGAAAAGAGATTACTGTCAAAAGAAATACATAAGGGCCAGACAGCTATGAAGAAGAGGTGGCCGGCTGACCGGTTGAGTAGCTACGGTTGTTCCCTGCTGCCCAGGTGGGGACAAGGCCATTCTCAGGATCGCCCAGCTCTGCAGTCTCACTTCGGCTAGTCACGCATGCTGCTGCATGGACAACCATGTCAGTCAATGCGTCACGTCTGTCCCACAGCCCCCGCCAGAGGACCTTTGCCCAACCCTGTCCTTTCCGATCTCCGTAAGACCCTCCTCTGTTATTTGTGCCCTGTGGGCTCTTTCAGAGCAACTCACACGCACCGCCCCTCTGCCTTTTCAGGTCACGGGCATGTCACCATGGCCACCTGGCCGTGCAGCTGGTGGGTCTCTGCAGGTCCCAGGGAAGACTCTTACTGATGCTAGCTTTGGACACCAATATGCCCCTTTTCCTTATACCTTTTGCTTTATAGTTGTTCTTTTTGACTCTAGAGGCTGCATTCCACCACAAGGCCACCCCACGCAGTGCCCCCAGAAGGTTCTGTGCTCCCTGTGTGACCTCCTGCTGAGATCACATGTCTGCTGACTCACACCTTCCTGAACACCGCCTCTCACATCCCTTCTGACCTGGTGGGCTCTAGCGTGAGCTCCTCTTAGAGCTTTTCTCTTCCAAAGAAAAATTAAAATTTTTAACTAGATGTTGACGGAATTCGGTGTCAAAAAACTTACTTCACTGGGTTGTTAAGTTCAGATAAGGAAATGTTTGTGGAAACACTTTGCAGATAGCTGGGCTCCGTGTAAATGCTTCCAAGAATGTTCTGAACACAGAGATTATTATTATCATCCTGCCTACAGCTCTAGTTGGTTCCCAGCATCATCCTCCATATTTAGATAAATGACTCCCCGTCTTAAATATCCCCTGAACAGAAAAACAGCATGAAAAGTGTTCAGAAGATCAATCCGCATTTCTGAGGCTCTAGATGCAGACAGGGTCTTTCTGGTAAACCACCGCGGTAGCCCCTACTGCACTGCCTGCGGAAATACCCAGAACTGGGCAATTCCTGGGCGATTCGGGAGAGTAGGGCTTCATTCAGCTCCCAGTTTGGAGGGCCGAGGGTCGTGCGCCACCCTCTGGGGGTCTACAACATGGCAGAGGACAGGATCTCGAGCAAGTGGCTGTCCTTATGTTTCTGCCAGTTCTGGTCTCCTGTGCCCACTTTTTTTTTTTTTTTTTGAGAGGTTTTTGCCATAGGGTGCATGCACTCTCCAGACAGACAGAGAGAGACAGAGACAGAAAGCGAGAAATCACCCCTAGGGAGGATGGCCACGCCGCAATCTCTTCTCCTCCATTCTCCTCTCGGGATCTTGGGCACGCACGCACATGGGCCTGGCATGAGTTTTAAGCCACCGGGTCCAGCACGCGAACCGCAGTCGACTACATGGGAGTCCAGCAACATAGCCATTACACTAACTGCTGGTCCCTCCTGTCCCCACTTTTAAACACACCAGAACTCACAGGGGCTCTGCCCTAAAGGTCTTACCATACCTGAAGGCCGCCTCCTGGGACACCATGAAGGGATTAAATTTTCACTTAACAGCTTTACAATGCACCCAAGTCCTAGTGCACGAATGTGGGGGGGGAGCGTGAGAGCTATAGCAACAACCTTCTACGTGTGTTCACGGGCTACATGACTGCCGGGTGTCAGTGGCACATGCAGATACGGTCACGCAGGTCAGCTGGGCCCAGCACGCTCTGACAGCCCTCCAAGTCCAGAGTGCTCACTCGACTAGAAAATGCTGAGGTGTGGATGCACAACGGGTCCTAAAGAGCTCTGTGCCTGCCTGCTCTGCCCTCGTGGTGGCCTCCGATCAGGAGCCGTGCGTGCTAGGGCACGTCCCCCTCAGCTGCCTGTGGGACATTAGTGGAGGTTCTTCTGTGCCCCAGAAATGTACAACCATGCTGATGCAAAACCAAGGGCCCGCCTGACCTTCCTCCGTACCCTCAGGGGACGTGAAGTGCAGCTGAGCTTCACAGCAGGGAGCAGAAGACATGTCCCCGCATGAGGCTCAGGAAGGGTCAGCCTGGTGCCCTGTGTCCAGGGACTGCCATAGCAATCCACCGCCTGCCAGGGGAACTGACATGTGCTCCTCACACTCCAGAGCCTGGAAGTCCGGGGGCGGGGGGTGGGGGGAGGGGGGTGTGGGATCAAGGTGCTGGCAGGACTGCCCTTCTGAGGCTCTGCGGGAGGGGCCTTCTCCTCTGAGTGCCTGTCGGGGGGAGGGGGAACCGAGAGTCAGAACTGTAGTCCCAAGTGAAGTTTGCGTATCTTTTTATAGGGGGTCAGTTATTAGGGGTTTTTATGTAAATAGTTACAGACGTTGAATCAAGTAGGTTAATTATTTTGGGGGAGTGGGTTTCTATGTAAGTAGTTATGTTGTTAAAAGGTCCTGGGCTAGTTAGTAGAGACAGTAGTAGGTACAGGATATCGTACCTGTACCGATATGGTTTTCTGTACAGCTAGTTCAAGTTATTTTCTCATGAGAAGAGCAGCTAGGTTTACAGAAGCAGACAGCCATGTTAGGGTAAGGGAACAAAATGGACGAACAGTTGTTCATGTGTAAGATCTAATATGTGACCTTCCGCACCTATCACAGTCCACGACAATCTCATCTCGAGATTCTTAGATGCTATTTTTTCAAATGACTCATAGGTGCCAGGTGTAGGACTTGAACAGGTCTGTTTGGGGGCCGCAGTTAACTCTGCTGCTGCCGGAAAGCAGACCCCCGTGGGAGGGAGGATGCGCACTTTCCTGGCCCTCTCCCGGCCTCAGCCTCTGAAGCATGAGGTCACGAAGAATGGGCTGCGCCCCACGGCCTGGCCTTCCGGACCGCGAAGGGCTCACTCTTGCCTGACCCATCCACACTGTTGCCCTCAAAGCGGAAAGAGGCCAAACGAAGGGCAAGACAGGCCTGCCTAACACCTGGTAGACTCCGGTCCCTGAACGGTCCCGAGAATAAGGGAGAATGCTGTCCTGGGTGGCTTCGCTGGCCTCATTCAAAGGTCACGCACACCGTCCAGTCACATGGTGCACCGGCACCCAGCGGGCTCCTGAGTGGGTCAGGGGAACATTCAGGGAACCCCTGCGACAGTGACAACCTGAGGTAATTCCACACCCAGGGAAACCGAGGCAAGAGGAGGTCTGTGTTTAAGCCCCACAGATAACTCGGAGCTCAGAAACCTGTTTGACTCCTCTCTGTGCGTGACACCTAAATACAGTGCCTGATTTCACCTAGAGAGTAACAGCGGTCCCCCGACCTGCGCTGACCCCACAGGCCCAGTCTAGGCCCTTCACACCCATCACCGCTCACCCCTACAACAGCCGTTTCCCAGAGCGGGACACCAAGGTACAGAAGAGGAAGGTGACTTCCAGGGCAGAGAACTGGAGCCTGACACCGACTGCAGTGCTCACGGTGATGCCATTGCACCCCCTTCTTTCTATTTAGCTCACAGTTTTCCTACTTCATGTTCGTTCTCCCAGGTCACCAGATCCAAGACACCTATGTCCACAAGTCACGGCAAAAAGCCATCACGCATAAGCACGTAGGTAAGTAGAAAGACAGGTGGCATCTAGCTCAAGGCTCAGAGTGAGGACAACCCCATGACCTAGACCTTAACTAAGGGAGCCAGACCCCACTTGGCTGACCTTGGATCAAGTCCTGGCCCCCACAGCTGGAAAACACACCAGGTGTATGCATGTGTGCCCCAAATCCCAGGGGAATGGAGAAATGGAGAAGGGATTGCAGTGTGACCACGCCCCACTGGGGAGATGCTTTCTCCCTCTCCCTTCCTCCTCTCTCTGGTGAGAGCACACACCTTCTGGCAACCGAAAGAAGAAAGAAAAGAAAGAAAAGAGAGAAAGAGAGAAAGAGAGAAAGAGAGAAAGA